GGTCTCGTCGTTCATCAGCATGCGGCGCGGTACCGATCTTCAAATTCGATTATCTCGGGAACGAGGCGTTTCGCGGTACGAATTTGCATAGCGTGTTTCCGATTCAGTTTTTCCTGTAGTTTCGGCATCGTTTCAGTTTGAATACGTTCACGGCCCGCCGTGACCACGGAAAATGGGCGACACCGTGGGGGAAAAAAGGAGGGTAATCGAACGGTTTCGAATTCATTTGGAATCCCTACTGCGGACGTTCGCGGTGAAAATTCGTCGGTTCCAAAAAAACATTCGAGGCACGACCGTTTCAAGGAACATTCGAAATGCAGCTGTTTCGAGAAGACGTTGAAAATTTAGCTGTTGCAAAAATGCATTGAAAATTTAGCTGCTTCGAAAATACGTTGAAAATTTAGCTGTTGCAAAAATAAACATTTGGCTGTTGCAAAATTACATTGAAAATTTAGCTGTTTCGAAAAACGTTCAAAATTTAGCTCTTGCAAGAAAAACATTGAAAATTTAGCTGTTGCAGAAAAAACATTGAAAATGTAGCTGTTGCAAAATTGCATTGAAAATTTAGCTGTTGCAAAATTATATTGAAAATTAGCTGCTTCAAAAGGACATTGAAAATTTAGCTGTTGCAATAAAACATTGAAAATTTAGCTATTGCAAAAAAAACATTGAAAGCTTAATTGTTGCAAAGGACATTAAAGGATACAGAACTGTGTTCGAAAACTCGATACAAATAAATAACGGAACAATATTTTCCGGATCGAGGTCTGGCTGAAATGAGCGTGGATCTTCGAAGCGAATACGCAGACACCAGTTTCGGAACAAAATTCATTAAGGTACAATCGAGAAAGTTCCCGGCGCCTTTGTAACCGGTGACGGATAGCCCAGTTTAACGAATCGCGGAAACTTCTGGGCGAAACTGCGTAATGGCAATCAGCGGTGACTTAAGGCGAACACGCGACGACGGTACTTTGACACCGATAATGCGATTGCCACAGCCACGGGTGAACGGCGAATTTAATGAACTTTCCTCGATATTAGAGAAACAGGAAGCAACTATTGTCCCGTGTTACACAGGGTGTCCCAAAAGTTCTAATCTCTTGTCATCGATATTTAAGCATTCAAGTAAATTTAGGCACACGATAAACATCAATTTTCTTCCCTTCTAACAAATAATTGCAATCGAAACATTTCTAATCGCGGTAACCGCGAAGAAAATGGCAAGCCAAGGGGTTAGACCCCTAATAATGAATTCTAGAGAAGAATTAGTTCGTGCAAAATTAGATTGGTCTCGTCGAGCAGCAGAAATTCTGTCGACGAATTGGCATTTTCTGCGAAGACGTTGTCGGATTATTTAATTATTTGTAATTCGATGAAACGTCTCAACTTTAAGGAAACCAGTAAACCGCAATGTCCAAGTTAAAACAGTCCCTAAGCCAATTAAAACCGTCAGGGAGAAGTGCCTGGACGACGACAAGCAGCAAGGATCGCGCACAATTTCAATGATCGTTCGGACAGGTTAAACCGTGAAACTTTTCGCGCGCTGGTGCATCGGCCGGCGGACAAAGGGGTCGGCGAAGGCCACGTGGCTCTCCCACGCGGTTGAAAAAGAAGAAAAGAGAGTCAAGCGAAATCGAAGGCGCGAATTAACCGTCGACCAACGGGGAAATTAAAGTTTCGCGGGGCCCGGTGTTCTCGCTGTATTCTCACCTGCGACTGTTCTTTCACTTTCCGGCGTCTCGGGAGCTTCGGAAATCTGACCTATAAAAAAAAAAAGAAAAAAGCGAAAAGAAGAGAGCCGTCCTTGCCCGCCCGTGCACCGCCGCCCCTTCGAGCAATCGATTGTCCCATTTCGCCGCGAGATTCCGGCACGAGTCGCAAATGAAACCGTCGCGATCCGGCCCTCCATTCGAGAGCCCACCGTATTCAAATCGGAGAAAGTTTTCCCTCCACCGGGAGCCGCGGACAAGAGACTCCTCCCGGCGAGCCGAGCCGGCGCGCTGATTGGACCGCAATCCCGCTGATTGGAATCTCTTAATTCCCCTTACACGTAATCCCGGCGATCGCCGAGACAAACGACTGTGTCGCTAAGTTTCTCGATGCAAAGGAGATTCTCTTCGCGCGTCCTTCAAACACGCCGCGAAGAAACTCCGAGATATTGTTTAAACAAGTTTAATTTTCCAGTAAAAAGAAAATATACAGGCGTGTTCAGCGTTCGAAGACGCGCAAGTTTTCTCTTTGAAGTTTTTCTTCAGGATCAATAGTTTTCGAGATATTCGATTAAACATAATTTCCACCCCCTGTTCGCGACGATTGTTTTCATCCCTTAAATAAAAGCGGGGGAATTTATGAAAAAACACGTGTCCAATATTTTCGCGTGCTCTATGCGATAGACAAGTTTCAACGAAATCGAAGCACCCTTCGGCACCCTTCTTTAAATTACAATACGAACAAAATGTAGAATATTCTTTAAACGAGTGATTTTATCGAGCAACCGTTTACACGAGTGTATTCGCTGTTAAAAGACGCGCGAATTTCGCCTTTGAATGTTTTCTGTCGAATCAATGGTCCCCGAGATATTCGAGCAAACAGTTTCCACCCCCTGTCCACGGAATGTTGTCTTCGTCCCTTGAACGCGTGCGAATGATGCTGCAAAAGAAAAAGAAAAAAAGAGAAAAACACACACGCGTCAAATGTTCATCCGTGTACTGTGTCGCGTAATAAAAACGCGAAAAATCGGTGCTGCGAATGCAGCCGCGCAGTTTTCATCCCTGTGTGTTTGTCGTTCGAGAATGTCAGCACGCACCCCGCACGAAACGCGTCGCGGATTCCCGGCATTTTTCTCGCAGCAACGAAAGTAAATATGAAACGTGACTGTTCGAGGGCGTGTTTGCGTAGAATTTCGCCGCGGGGGGTTAAAAGGCGGCTAAGTATCTCGAGGATGCGGCCAACACCGTAGCGATGTTGGACCCGAGTTTAATTGCGAGCAAACTACGGCGGAATAATGCGGCTGCTCTCGGATTCGCGGAACTTTTAAATGCGTTCGCGGCGAATCTGGCAGCCAGCGCGGCGTTGATTCGAGGCTTTTCGGTAGACGCGGGATTGCGGTCGGCCGTGACTCCGGTACAGCCGTGTGCCGGTTGTCTTAATAACGGAGCACCGCGCCGTGGCATCCCGTTCCCGGGAACGTCGGACGGAAATATCGGCGTCTTAAAATTAATTGGACGCGCGCGGCAGCTTTGTGGCCCAGTTTAATCAAATCCGTGTTCGGCAGTTTAATAGACGCGGCGATGGCGGCCGCTGATTTTAATTAGTCTCCGGTGTGATCGATGGTTGCTGCGATCCGATTATAAACGCAGTTGTTGCGAACATGTTGCGGCTGCCAGCGCTCGGTGTTTCCGGTGTGTACAAATAATTTTGTAGACACCTTGTATATATATACAATTCCGCGATAGAACATTGTGTAAACTGTTGACGCAATTCTCGATTCCCGATGTAGGACAATCGAAGACCTGTTTGTCGAAAGTCGCGCTACAGGGGGCTATTTATTGTTCGAACACTCGGTATATGATTGCTTCTGTGAACGCGGCTGTGTGAATAAAACCTGCCCGAAAATTCGCGAAGAGATTAAACCTCGTTTTATTGTGTACTTCTGGAATAATATACTGACTACAGTAATTTCTCCCTAATCCGCGCTCAGATTGCGCACAAAAATGGACAATTCCGGGAAGAGGAGATACGATTATTCGAGCCTCGCGTCTTGTTTTTATACTTGTTAACAATCGGCAACTAAAAAAGCGAATCGTCTGCTACTTTTGTCGAAGTTTCAAATTCTCGTCACAGTTTCCTGCGTGCTCTGTCTTCGAACAATTTTTTTCGTCGAAAATGAATTATACACAGAAAAAGTAGACACTTCGGGCTTTAAAATGAGCCAAGTTCCATCGTTGTATGATTTTTTTGCACAAAATTACAGCCGTTCGAATATCATTAACTTTTCAGAAATTCGAAATTTTGTGTAAAATCTAGAACGAGGATTCCCGTCGGTCATATCATCAATCAATTTTTTTAAAAGAAACTGATCAATGACTTCCGAAAGTAGACACTTCGGGCTTTAAAATGAGCCGAGTTCCATCGTTGTATGATTTTTTTGCACGAAGTTACAGCCGTTCGAATATCATTAACTTTTCAGAAATTCGAAATTTTGTGTAAAATCTAGAACGAGGATTCCCGTCGGTCATATCATCAATCAATTTTTTTAAAAGAAACTGATCAATGGTATCCGAAAGTAGATACTTTGGGCTTTAAAATGAGCCAAGTTCCATCGTTGTACGATTTTTTTGCACAAAGTTACAGCTGCTTGAATATCGACAATTTTTTCGAGAATTTAAAACTACGACAAAACTTCGGCTCGTTTTTTAAGTCACCGATTGCCAATAACTATAAAAACGGACCGCAAATTACTGTACCCGTTTCTGGAACACCCTCTACACATACATAATCGCCGCAAAGCTCGCGAAATTGCTATCAGCAGCGGACACAATAACACCGAACACCTCCTCGCATTCGCAAAGACCAAAACCGTGCGTCCCGAGCACCTTACCAACCGGACCGAATGCATTAATTTCGGGACACCCGTTGCACAGTGACTTACTCGGTTCGCTCATCGACGCGTACGTCTCCAGTTAGCGCGCCTTATCAGCCGGTTACCCGGCCAATTTCCCGACGCAAAACCGGTGGATCAAACAGGAACGCCGCACACCTGTCGAATCATCGTGGCCCCGAGATACTCCGTTAATTAGCACCGCGATATGTATTCTCCGCAGGCAGAACAGCGTCCCGCAAATTTCACATGCGTCGGCCGTGTTCGATTCGCCGTCTGTCTAATTACGTCGCCGTTATCAGGGTCGTGCCGCATCGCTGGCTTCCCGGCACCGGCCTCGAATCAGTTATTTAAACGACCCCGGCCAATCATTCCCTTTGTAAGGGTCAGCCTTTATTACCTGGTCCGCTAGCCCCCGCGGAGACTCGAGATTCATCGGGTTGCTCGGCCTTGTGCTACATCATTTGGCGCCGCTGCCGCCGTAGACGCTGGCAATCCCCTGGCGACAATAACTGTCTGCACCTGGAACAAGACGAATTCAATTAGACGCCGGTGGTCAGACTGTTGGACGATAGTGTTGGTACATCGGTTAACTCTAGAACAGCCAGGAGGATGGGATAGGACATCTAATTATTTCATTATGGAGGATGTAATTAGGGTATACCATAGTAGAGAAGCTAGACAGTGCAAGTGTGGAAGGTGTGAAATGATAAGAGATAGTTGGCCAGACTGTTGGATGACGAAGTTTGCGCTAGGTAACCCTAGAACGCTGGAGGATAGATTAGGACACCTAAATATTTCACTGGTGAGAACATAACTGGGGAGGGGGGCCACGGTGTGAGTTATGGTAGAAGCTAGCTCCTGAAGGTATACAAGGCGTGGAAACTTAACGAAAAGTTGGCCACGCTGTTGGACGACAAAGTTGGAGTACTAGGTACAGTAAATACTCCCGAATTGACGCTCGGCTTGGAAACCGAAATGGACAATTCGGGGAGAGGAGTTGACGATAATCGTAGGAGTTAATGATCTTGTCTTCCTCTTCAAAAACTGTCCAGTTTCGTTTAGGACAAATTTACTGTACGAAACGAATGGCCAATAATTATTGAGCCAAATAATTGGCTCTTTCCAAGAGCCAATGCAGAATAAATTAGAACACCTACTTATCTGACTATTAAGAACATAACTAGGCAAACCATAGTGAATGTATATAACAATGGGATGCGGCAGGATCCGCATCGCAGTCAGCCGATGCACGTAAACCAATAAACGAAGAAGCGTCATATACGGATTATACATTAGCTACTTAGGCACTACTTTCCCCGTCCATTTCGCTGTCAATTAATCCGACTAGGACGGCCTGGGAAGTTCGGAAGTATTCATTTACCGGGAAGAATATCGCCGGGACGATTATGCTGTCTCTATGATTATGCATGAGGCACTTGGGAATCGAGGATCCCGGAGTCGCGTGCACGCTGATGGATATGTAGATCCGAAGATATTTCTGGTCTGCAGACAGAACAGGGGAGAGCCGGCGTGCCGAACTGTCTAAGAGTTACCGAAGTCTTGCGGATCTTGGGCGCAATGGCAACATCCGTCGACGCGGTGCTTCGTCCTATCTGTAAAAAGTTGACAGCGCCGTGCACGACCATCCGGACAGCGTGTGTTCAAGGATTTTGGTCATCGCCTTCTTAACAGTATGCGCATTCAGGGGCTACATTGTGCTCGAAGAGAAACTTTCCCAGCTTCCGGGCAAGAAGCCCGACGCTATCCGCCGTGGCAGCAGCCGCTGACACTGACAAATGATCCTGAAAGCGTGATTCCGCCTACGGACTGGGGCTAGATTAGTAGAAAATCACGTTCCGTCCCGCGAAATTGCCGGGAACTTTCCAATAACATCTTCTTCCGAACGAAAACAAGCGGTTTGTCTAAATTTTCCCCCCGGAACCATCGCCTAAACTTCAGGAAACCGAGAGTTCGAGCATGGCACACGCGTTACCATACTCGCGGGCAGCCCTATTAAACCGGCGTCCGATGACAACAAACTGACCTTTCGCGGTTAAATTTAGAAGTGTCTATGGTATGCGCTTCGCGCGGATTAGAGGCATGCACTCCCCCCCCCCCCCGGCGGGCATGATTAATCAAACCAGAGGGGCGAAACAACGTTCAATCAAAATAACGACCAAAAATTAGAGGGGATCCCATTAGCCGTTCGAAGACCATTAGGAAGATTACATGCGAAATTAGAATCGGATCTAGCAGGAAATAAAGCGAGTCGAGAAAACAATCGCTATTAAATCCGGGGTAACAGACACTGANTGCCCCCCCCCCCCCCCCCCGGCGGGCATGATTAATCAAACCAGAGGGGCGAAACAACGTTCAATCAAAATAACGACCAAAAATTAGAGGGGATCCCATTAGCCGTTCGAAGACCATTAGGAAGATTACATGCGAAATTAGAATCGGATCTAGCAGGAAATAAAGCGAGTCGAGAAAACAATCGCTATTAAATCCGGGGTAACAGACACTGAACAGTCCCTCCCACGAATCAGCCTCATTAATGACGGGTTCCCGGCTCCGATTCCGAACGAATCTACCATTCTCCCGCGCGCGGATCCTCCTTTCTCCATGAACAAGAAAAATCAAGACTCATCTCTCTCTCTCTCTCTCTCTCTCTCTCTCTCTCTCTTTCTCTCGTCCGATTTCTGCAAAAGTGATTCCCGCGTGATTTTTCCAGATTAAATTCTTTCGATCGACGAATTCTCAGCCAGGTTTAAATTGAAAGCTCCGCGAATTTCGTTCACAGGCCATCGCACGAAGCTCGATCAACGGTGAAATCTGGTCGGCGAGTATGCTTTAACTCTGTGCCCTATAACCACGTCCGAGAGACGTGGTCAAATAATCGGAACAGAGATGATCATCGCGTGCGAGAGACGTGGTCGGATAATTGGGTCAGAAATAATTATTACATCTGAGAGACGTGGACAGATAATCGGGCCAGAAATAATGATCACGTGTGAGAGACGTGGTCAAAAAATTGGGCCAGAAATGAGAACCGTGGTGCGTCAGTCGGGCCAAATATAAACATAATTAGTTAGGCTTGTGTTAGACTAGGGGACACGTGTTCTGTGATCTTTTGTTTCTCGTTGTTCGATTGTTTTAATAGTAAAGTTTATTACTAAAGGCGGTGGCGCGGGGCTCCAAAGCCCGAGCTTGTCATCAATTAGCTTCGTTTTGACTAGATTTTGACCCATCAGTCTGTCAGCAATGCGAGCAAAGGGCTCGACGCGATCTTGTTGTTTGAGGCACGCGTTCTCGAAGCTTAAATCGCAGGTCAAAGGGTTAACGACGATTCTAATCCCGGCACGAAAGCATTTAAAACGGAGACCGGCACTCGCTGGGTAAATTTTTCCCTTCTAGAGCGTCTCGTTAAAAGTTCCCAGCCGCGTATTAAAGCCGGCCGAAAGTCGTTTATTACCCTGGCCGCCTTACACTCTATTTCCACAAATATGGAATAAATTAACGTCTCATAGAGGTCGCGGGCTGCATAGTTTGCTAACCGGACGCGATAATAAGAAACATGCCCCTTCGACAGGCCAACCACTCCCGTGTCTGGAAATTGTCTACTCTCGGGCGACCGGCAGCGGGCAGCCTGCTACCAGGGGCCAACAATTGCGGCATTTACTTTGGTTAATTCAATGCCCTGAGACACGCCGGCGGTTCAGCGTGCCAAAAATAACAGCACCGAAATGCATTTACGCGGCTCGGATTGCCGATCACGGCACCGTTTAATCATTCCCAAAGCGGTGTCTCTGTCTTTCGGAGTGGTGTCACAGCGAGGATTAGATTAAGGGAGGGTGTCATTTCCTCCTGGCTTCAGCAACCGACGATACGGTTGGACCAACGCGCTGACATTGATAGCTTTGTATCTCGAGCACGGCATCGCGGTAACTATTACAAGGCGGGAGTCGCGGCTCCGTCAACTCGCACATCGTCCGACCTAAACGGCGGGACTTTCGAGAGCGCTTTAGGGCAAATCCGGATGTGTTCTTTCAGCGTGTAGATCCCATGTCCGAGGGGGCTACAGGAGCCAGCGACTGGAAGCTCGAGGCACTCTGTGGGGGCGGTGTTCCACCCGAACAACAATACCAGGGCCTCTCGTACAAGCTGGTAATTAGACTGCGGAACATAATGCGGATTTATAGTATTACGGAAGATCTTCGGAACCGGCGCGAACCGGATTTATACCGCGTTTCTCTGAAATCGATGTAGAGGAATAAAATATTCTTGCTTGACCTTAAGAGGTTCGAGGTTTAATTAAGGGGGGATAATTTCGTATCGGTGTGAAAAAAGTGCTGTAAATATCTGAATAAACGTAGGCTAAAAATTAGCGTATTAAAGAAACATAAAGATTGTTTAAGATTGCTTTTGAAAGTTTAAAGTTCTGTGGAAAGTTTTTTTACGCTTCCTTGAGCCCTTGACATATCATTTTTTTCGCAGTTACTTAGGCAATTTTTCGATTGCAATAATTTCTTAGAAGGGAAAGAGTATTGGTGCTTATTGTGTGTACCTAAATTTACTTGAATGCTTAAGTAATGATGTCAAGAGATTGGAATTTTATTCCATTTTTAAAGGACAGAATAATTCAATAACTCGATAAATTATTACTAGAAATTCTTACGACGAGTCTTAGGACTCGTCGAAGTATGGCAAGGGGTTAAGCGCGCTGAAAAGACCGGCCCCTGGGATAGGCCAAATGCTTCTGTGTCTGCCGGTTGCCAGCTTCCGGGCGTCTACGCGAGACGCTTCGCGTTCGTCTTCGCGTTCAGTTTAACCATGCGAATACAGTAATTTCTCCCTAATTCGCGCTCAGATTGCACACAAAAATGGACAATATCGGGCCTCGCTTTTGTTTTCATAGTAACAAATCGTATCTCCTCCTCCCAAATTGTCCATTTTTGTGCGCAATCTCGGTGTCAATCAGGGAGACTTTACTGTAAGCTTGAACAATTCGATCGCCGATCACTCGTAGCGAAACGATGGCCATCGAGGCTGACAATGGGGACACACGGAATGGATCCGGTTGTCCCTTTTTCTCGTCGGACATCCGTCCGTACCTAAACATTTGCGAACTTGAAAATTGCGATTCACCGCGCGGCGGGCCAATCGGACAAACAAGCCACGATTTCAATTATGCACGGGCCCGTGACAACGTCCGCGAAACACGAGAATGCAATCGCAGCGTTGCGAGCCATAATGCAGTCGGAATTACGATGGCCGGAGACTTGGGAACCGTGTGACGCGTGAGAAAAATATGACCGGCGACGGTGTATCCTCCGCGGCTTTGGATTTTTAGTTAATTTAGTTTTAACTCAGTTTAACCACGGAAACATTTATTACTAGGCGAATTCATCGGCGAAATTCTGCTATTCTATGGCCGCGTGTGCTTGCATAGATGTTTACATTGAATTTCTATGGTGTTTCGAGGCGGCTGCAGTTTGTATAGCATTCACCGGAGGGGCGGAGTGTTCAATGGTGAATAAATTAGTCCATGCAAAACGCATTAGTGTCGAGTGACTTGGTCTTGGTGATGGAACAATGCCGCCCACGTACGATTCGTTAGGTTTGCCCGTAACCCTTTTCTTATAGGGCGGACCGGTTATTAATATTCAAGAGGGAGCCGCAGCTTTTTGATAATTTAACGACTCCGCGGCACGCGGCGGAGGATCGTGGACAGCTATTGTCGCGATCGACGGTCAACAGCGGCTGCGGAATTATAAATTGCCGGCTCGCGGCGAGCTTTTATCCGGGATGTTTGTCCGCGGCCCTTTCATCGCGGAGAAGCAGCCGCCCGTGGACGCTGGAAGTCGTCGGAATCGGCTGCTTGCGCCAGCATTCCGCGAGGCGACACTTTCGCGGAGACACATTTTTGCGAAAAGCGGAGGAAAGGTTGCCGCTGGAAATGGGACCTCGGCTCGGCATTATTTCGAAAAGTGAACGCCCGTCCGAGTCGGGAAAAGTATCCGCTTCGGGGTGTCGCATAGTCGCAATATTTTTCTTTGTATCCCCAAACACGCAAAAAACCTTCTGTCGACAAAGCAAATGAAATTCTTGTGCAGCCGGACGAACAATTTGTCACGACTCTGTTTCCTTCGCGCTCGACGGATCAGCCAGCCGGCGGCGACACGGCTTGCCAAAAAAATTCGCGCGACGCATCCCGCCCACGGTAAGGCCACGCCTACGACCGCCTTTGTCACGCCCACTAAGCGACGCATCCGACAATTTAAACTCTAATTCCACCGTAAGTTCAGATAACTGACACGGGAGACGGGCATTATCAGGCGGACGACGATAATGATCGTCTGACACGCTGTTCGACCTTTCTCGGTTTTCCTTTGCCACGCCCACCGAACGACAAACTTGCAACACGTGCGTTTCGAAGTTAAACTTCAGTTACTATAAACGATCTGGAGATGAGATTTTACTAGACGATCTTCGCCTAATGACAGAATAATTTACATTTAATATTATTCTACAACGTACGAGCACCATTGGTACTGACTAGCCACGCCTACTTCTGGCTCGCCACGCCTACTGAAAAAGGAATTAGCAACACCTGAGTTTCCAATATCAATTTTGGTACCCTGGAGATCTAGATTACTACAGACTGACAATAGGCGATCTAATTTTTTCATTTTTCAATGTATTAACACTACTGACTAACTGCACAGATCAGCGACGCTCAAATCTCGCCACGCCCACCGAAGAAGGAATTAGCGACACCTGAGTTTCCAATATCAATTTTGGTACCCTGGAGATCTAGATGACCACAGACTGATAATAGGCGATCTAATTTTTTCATTTTTCAATGCATTAACACTACTGGCTATCTGCACAGATCAGCGACGCCCAAATCTCGCCACGCCCACTAAACTAAAGTCCGCCGAAACGTGCGCCTTTCCCTACAAACGCCAGCTATTTAACACGCACAGGAACAAACACACATCCGCCGATCTAAGCGCCGTTTCTTCGTAAATATTTCCAGCGAACGAGCACGGCGTCGCGCAAACAATGGCGCGCCGGTTCGCCGGATAAAAGCGCGGCCGATCCCTTACGAAATAATTTCCCGGAATGGAGCGGGGACCGCGTCCCGGCCTCGCCCATCTTCTCGAAAATCCGTCGGCTAATTAGCGGACTATCGCGCGTCCATTGTTAACGCGGGCGCGGTGTTACGAGTGCACGAGTCGCAGCCTTGACCCGGATGAACGCCCAACGATCGAAAACCCCCGCGGGGATTCGAGATCAGCCTCCGACGATCATCGGCCAGAGCGCCGGCAAACAAGGGAAGTTAAGCGGCGCGATGGAATGCGATTAAATTAATTGCGAATTCGCCGTTGTAATTGGCGGTCCGTATTATCGTCTACGGCCGTGCAAACGACGCGTCCGGCCGCAGGGAACGGCTGGCGGGCCAACGGCTCCCATGGGCGTCATCAATAATTCCCCGTTTAAACCGGCGCACCCCTCCCCCCCTCCCCGCGCACCACCCCTCCGGCGTCTCTCGCTCGAATGGAGACCGGTGACGCTTTGACGATTTTTGACAAGAGTCATTACACCGTAATCGAAATCACTTGTACCTCGAGCGATTCGATGCAGCTCGTGCCAATATAATCCGACGTATTGTGGGCCTCCTGCGCCGATCGGATTCGATCTGCAATATCCGCAATTAATTGGCGGTCCGTGCGAATTAATACGCTATACTGAATTTATAATGGAGCCGGTGGACTGCGCGGCCCGATAATAGTCCGGTGTGTTATTTAAATTGCACGCGAGACGATTAATAATTGAAAATAATTGACGCACCGAATCGAGTATATTGATATTTCGATGTATGAATAAAAATTGATTGCAGAGAAATTATACGACGAACTGCGATTGAATAATAAACGCTTGTAGATGAAATATTAATGGGAACGTGGTCGTTGTAATGGAGGCGAAGGTGTGCGCGAATTTTTGTTGTTGACGATACCGAGTCGTACGAATGCGGCGCAGGCGGCAACGTCGCAGCAAGTAGAATTGGTCGGCGTTAATCAGACGCATACCGAGTAATCGCTGAAAGCGGTCCCGATACGTGACGCAGCGAATGATAAAAAATTATCCGAGCGAATATGATTTTTTGTCGGAGGACATCAATCGCCGGCGGAAGAACCGTGCGGGAGGGGAGGCAACCGATGACAGAGTCGCAAATAATTGCATACCGGGGGAGGCATTAGTAACGAAGCTTCATGCGCCGATGGCTCGATACCAGTCGGGCGAATGCCTGTCCTCCTAATGGTATTAAATGCGTGAGAATGTTTCTTTGAATATCGCGTAATACCAGCCCCCTCTGTTAACGCTTTCGGTCTTCGCCGTGTAAAATAAGTGGTTTACAGGCGTCGTACGCGCCTGTATAATTAATATCATCGTGCAACGCTGCTCTGCGTCTCTCTTCCAGTTGTGCAACGAACTCGATATGTTTAAAAACACGGGATATTTGAAATACAGAGATATCTTTTGCTGCATTATATTCATATGTAATACATTTCGATACGTTTACATATACCCCAGAATTTATCTGATCTTAATTAACGAAACGGGCAAACAGCAATTCCGTGTTTCATCAATTTTATGCTGAGTCTTGAATTTCATAAATTTAGGAATATCTATCGTTCTGTAATTTGCATAGATTTCTGGTTAGTTCGCGAAATTAACGAATTTATAAACTCTAGGTTTCATGGATTATTGTAACATTATAAATTTATGTAGGTTTATATATTTTTGTAGAACAATAAATTTTTGTAGAACAATAAATTTTAGAAGATCAATACATTTTTCTAGCTTTATAAAATTTCGTAGCATTACAAATTTTTGCACGATTAAACGTTTTTGTAGGTTTAGAAATTTTGTGGAAATTCTGAAATCACAGAGATACAACAATGTACTAGCGAATGACAAACATGTCGGCGCTATTGTAGCCAGTAGTGTTTATCGTAGGCGGGACAAAGTGATTGTACATTTAATAATGTTGAAATATTCGTGCGCGGTCTATTATCAATTATTGTCACATCATCGTCCAGTGCACGGAATTACATTGTCGAGAATATGTTCCGTGGAATTTCGTTAAATATGAATACCTGGTCATTATAATTGCAAATCAAAGCGGTTAGGGTGACATCGAAACTGGAATAATCGTGTCAACGGTAATTCGAAAAAAATACAAACAATATCAACCATGTTCAAATGTACTGAAACAAATGTAATAAATCGAAAATGAGCCCACACTCGAAATAAATAAAATTGGAAGAAGAAAATTAGACGAATAAAACAATATGGGCAGATTCGTTAGAAAAGGTCAAACAAAGTTAAATATATTCGAACAAAGTCAAATATATTCAGACGAAGTCAAATATATTCGAATAAAGTCAAATATATTCAGACAAAGTTAGATATATTCGAATAAAGTCAAATATATTCAGACAAAGTCAAATATATTCGAATAAAGTCAAATATATTCAAACAAAATCAAATATATTCAAACGAAGTCAAATATATTCAAACGAAGTCAAATATATTCAAACAAAGTCAAATCTATTCAAACAAAGTCAAATATATGCAAACATACTTAAATATATTAAATCGAACGACACAAAACTATCAAGACAAGATGAACAGACAAAATCAAACAACTCATTGCCAGTCGAACAAAGAACATAAGGTAACGTAAATAAAACAAAGGCAAACGGAATGAACAAACAACCGCAAACAAACCGAAACGATTGATACCAAGTCAAACCGAACAAACAAAATCGAGGGAACAATTTACAGTCAACAAAATGGACTAAAATAAAATAACTGAAACAAGATGAAAGAAAGTGAACGAACGCAAACATACGCAAACATGTCCAAACATGTGCGAACATGTGCGGACATTTCGCAATTAAATTTTGCGGTATTTCGAGCTGTGGATTAAGAAGAATAGATAAAGAAAGGTTGGTGGACGACTGACCAGATGCGACGACGGTAAAATCCAATGGCAGATAAAAATGAATAGCGGCACTCGTGTCGGACAGATTACGGTTGCACGTTCGAACACCCTGCGGCCAGGTACAACGACGCGAACGTGGGAGAGTACGCGCGGCAACTGTTCCAAACTGCTCGGAACGCTTCTAGCCGCCCAAGGAATCGCACACCCTGCCCCCCACCCCGCAACAACCCTAAAAGGGCTGCTCGCGCCGCCGGCCACCCCCACGGCGTTCGCGCGACCTGATTATACCGATCAGCTAACCGAGAAACGCGATACCATGAATCTGAAATTCCGATTTTCGCTGACGTTTTTCAAGAAACCGCAATCTCCTCGCTCCGTGCTGCAATCATTTCATCCCCCTGTCCCGTGCCGCAACAATTCCGCCTCTGAATTATTTATAAATCGCCGATGGACTACGAACGACGCCGTCGAATTCGGCAAATTTAATAATACATTTTTATAATTATCGTCGAAAACTGTGTAACTTTTTTCGATAGACCTTTCGTCGATGGTTTTTACAGTTCAACAGAATTGCACCCACGCCAGGTAACATCAAGCATGATCGCTAGACAGGGGATTTTTATGCGAAATAAAACTGTTCCTCGTGTCTCTCGTGCACTAGATAGAACTTTCTTTCGTTGATGATTTTAAAATTCGTTTTTAATATAGCGTATCGTTATTCTCAAATGTTTCGTTATCCTTTCACGGCTCAAAAGTTTTGCGCAGACAGTTTCTCGAATAAACGAACAACATTCGCAATTTAATGGCCACTATGCACGCCGTTTGCACGCAACAGGACGGTCAGAGCCGCCGACGCCGCCGCTTTGTGTTACGGATTAGTGTCATCATCCCTTAGAGGAAATAGGTCAGAGAAAAGTTTCGCGGAGGACGCGTGTCGAATTAAACGAAACTTGCCTCTCTACAAAAGGGTTTCCAGGGGTAGAAGCGAGCGCTCTTTTTAATGGAGAATCCCCGGAGACCTTCTACCGACTGGCTACGCAGACGACGCGTTACGGTAATGGATACTTTTAACCGGCGTGCATGGAAACGTGTGCCACTCGTTCAGCAGGCGCTGCGAAATTAGACGATCTTCGGGAGTTTTTTTCTGAAGAAGCTGTTAGAGTCGTCAAATTACGATTTTGCAGGACTGTTAAGCAACGTTCTAGGAATACCCCCGATTTTTTCCTAAAGAAAATATTGCACTGTTTAAAGGTTGCAGCGAATGTCATTCGTCACGGAATAAAAGGTCAGCGAGATGAAGAATTGCAGCAGTGTGCACATTTACAGGCTCAAGGTAACTTTTATATTGTTCCTGCTTTCTGAACGAAAATTTAACGAACTATCATATTCGTGTATTTCTATTTTCTATTGTTTCTAATATGGAATAGTTTTAATTATTCTGTAATTATTCACACCACTGTATGCATCGCTATATTTATATTTATTTATATATATTATATATATGTATAAATAATTATATAAAATAATTATGTTTATTATATTTATTTATTTTATATATATTTTCCAGAAAAACTGCTGGTCGCACCAATTTACAATTTTACAAAGTTGTCGAGCAACGTTTCAGATATATTTCTCCCCAATTCGCGCTCAGATTGCGCACTCAAACGGACAATTTGGGCACAGGAGATTCTCAACAATTATAAAAACGAGACACAAGGACACTCCTCCCCCCAAATTGCCCATTTTTTGTGCGCAATCCGAGCGCGAATTACAGAAAAATTATACCAAAATATTTGTCCAATAAAAGACTTGCCATTGTCGTGTCGACGACTATCCAGATGAAAGAATAACGTTCGACTATAAAGCGAAAAGCCAAAAGAGAGTATCGTTGTTCGAAACGGGTCCCTGGTGAGCCTCTCTGACGTCGATCTTCGCGAGAGTCGATGTCTATTAAGAATTTATGCGCAACGCATCGTCGTGGAAGCTCCGAGTTACTCTCATCGTGCCAGAATTTTTGAGATCATAGCCCCGGGCAAACATTTCTTCGACGGACGAGCCGTGCCTGTTCCTCGAGGACGGGGAACGGTGTGTTCCTATTAATGTGATCAACTCAGCCATGAGAAAATGCATCGCCGACGGGAACGTCGGCAGCATCTGTTCCCGGTTCCGAAACTATTAGGTCCCCGGCACATGGAATGTTAGTCTGGCAAATGAAGCTCGAACTACGCTCCACGGATGTTCGACGGGTTAATATCATCCGCCGTGTGCCGCTACATTGTTTCCGCGAACCACAATCATTCACTAATATCGAGCAATTTAATCCAATTAACGGCACTCGAAAATTCTACAAATTTCACACGTTGCGCGCTTCAACGGCGACATTTAGAAACCTCCGCGTGTGCTCTGTACGTTGATCGACAGACTCGCGAAGTTTCAATTCGACGGGTCAATTAATATCGTTCGAGAAAATATTTTCAAATTGCGCCAAGCCATTGGTTCTAGAAGATCTCCCATTAAATCTCAGTCGTTTCGGACAAAATCATACGATTAACACGTTCCGTGCCGAGCTTTTTTTACTCGAATCTTCACACTTTGATATTTTACTAAAACTTGATGTATTACGTGCAATTATTAATTCTCGTACACATAACAACGTAACAAAAACTTATCAACGCCCATTCTTGCGGTGGAAATTGATTCTTCGGTTCTAAATTTCTTGTAAACAATTTGTTCAGTTCACTAAGTAAACATGCANATACCAAAATATTTGTCCAATAAAAGACTTGCCATTGTCGTGTCGACGACTATCCAGATGAAAGAATAACGTTCGACTATAAAGCGAAAAGCCAAAAGAGAGTATCGTTGTTCGAAACGGGTCCCTGGTGAGCCTCTCTGACGTCGATCTTCGCGAGAGTCGATGTCTATTAAGAATTTATGCGCAACGCATCGTCGTGGAAGCTCCGAGTTACTCTCATCGTGCCAGAATTTTTGAGATCATAGCCCCGGGCAAACATTTCTTCGACGGACGAGCCGTGCCTGTTCCTCGAGGACGGGGAACGGTGTGTTCCTATTAATGTGATCAACTCAGCCATGAGAAAATGCATCGCCGACGGGAACGTCGGCAGCATCTGTTCCCGGTTCCGAAACTATTAGGTCCCCGGCACATGGAATGTTAGTCTGGCAAATGAAGCTCGAACTACGCTCCACGGATGTTCGACGGGTTAATATCATCCGCCGTGTGCCGCTACATTGTTTCCGCGAACCACAATCATTCACTAATATCGAGCAATTTAATCCAATTAACGGCACTCGAAAATTCTACAAATTTCACACGTTGCGCGCTTCAACGGCGACATTTAGAAACCTCCGCGTGTGCTCTGTACGTTGATCGACAGACTCGCGAAGTTTCAATTCGACGGGTCAATTAATATCGTTCGAGAAAATATTTTCAAATTGCGCCAAGCCATTGGTTCTAGAAGATCTCCCATTAAATCTCAGTCGTTTCGGACAAAATCATACGATTAACACGTTCCGTGCCGAGCTTTTTTTACTCGAATCTTCACACTTTGATATTTTACTAAAACTTGATGTATTACGTGCAATTATTAATTCTCGTACACATAACAACGTAACAAAAACTTATCAACGCCCATTCTTGCGGTGGAAATTGATTCTTCGGTTCTAAATTTCTTGTAAACAATTTGTTCAGTTCACTAAGTAAACATGCAAGCGTGTACCATCGATGGTACACGTGGCACGGAACGTGTTAATGCAAAAATTCCGACATGTCTTTGGAACGTTGACAAACGAATCCTGAAAATGTTGAGTTCGACGTGTCGCTTGGTGCTCGTTAAAAAACATTCACGGTCATCCGACAGAACGGTCGTCCGATTGAAAAAAATGAGCGTCGGTGGGGATTATTATTCGGATCGCGTAATCCACTTAGCCGGGAGAAGTTTCAACGGGCAAAAAGCCGTCCTATGATATTATTACGCAAACGTGAGAACGAAATGGGGGGAGGGGGAGGGTGGCGGCGGAGTGTATTAATTAAACGGATCGCGGATTACGAAACAGTCGGAGCTGTTAATTAATTCAAATAATAGGACGGTCCAGCGTTGATCAAGTGGGATTCCATTGATTCCAAAATACAATCCTCCGGCAAACGGTGGGACGAGCGTTTACGTAAGTCGATACGTAGATCACGCGGCCCTTCCAGCCACGTGACCGACGCTTTCCCGCCACGTGACCGCCGGACAATTCTTTGCTTCCGCTCAGAACCGGATACACGGCTTTCTTACCACCCCCGCGCACCCTGGCCGGTTGCATAACCACGGCAAATTAAAAAAGAAATTCATTCCGCGTCCAGCCCACTCGTTGTTCCACTTTAACGTCCCGTTTAATTAATAAAAACAATCCCCGAAGTTATTCGTAATACTCCAACTTCTGATCGGATTGTTAGGCGCCCCCCTCCTCCCCGCAGACTCTGCGCAGCTTGTTATTTGTTGAAATAATAATTCAACTGTCCTTTATTCACCGTGGACGCGGAAACTCTCTGTACAGTACACTTTCGATTTACGGCGAGCTGTCGATATTTGAACAGTTGTAACTACGTGAACAAAAATCGTACGACAATGAACCGTAGCTCGTTTTAAAGCTCGAAACTTCTACTTTTGTCGCGCGTAGGTCGGTTTCCGGTACGATCTTTTCGCATGATGTAACGAGTCGAAAACCGAGGCTACCTTTTTCCTTGAACATGGGGAAAATTTAAACGACTTCCAAAACAGTGGACAATTTTTTTTGTAACGGTATATAACATGGATTCGGATATTGATGTCTCCTCTTTGCAATGACTACTTAAAAACTGATCTACGAATTTTTTGAAACGTTTTATGCGACAGAAACGAAGAACGAGTCCGGTCGCACGAAATCCTACGTAAAGTCGCGTCTTGCGAAAATAGATGAAATTCATCACGTTGTAATTTCGTGATAAGAAATCATACGACGATGAACCATAGCTCATTTTAAAGCTCGAAGTTTCTACTTTTACCATCCGAAGCTCAATTTCCTTTAGAATTTTTTTTCGTTATGTGCCGCGATGCGAACTGAAAGTATATTTCTCCACAAAATGACAAAAATTCGCAAGATTCCTAAATCATTGAAAAATTTTTTCGGACACTGACTGGACCGTAGATTTGAAGATTGAAGTCTGCTCTTTCAAACGACGCCTCAAAAATAACTTTACGATTTTTTTTGGTCGTTTTATGGAACTGGGAAGAGGAGTAAAATTAACGGTACAAAATCCCACCTGATCCCATGATATACAAAAAGTCGACAATATTCGCATTATGGTAATTTAGTAATAAAAGATCATACGGCGACGAACCATAGCTTATATTAAAGCTCGAAGCTTCTACTTTTACCGCCCAAAGCTCAATTTCCTTTAGAATATTTTTCCATGATATACCGCGATGCAAACTGAAAGTATACTTTGCCACAAAAATGCAAACATTCACAAGATTCCCAAATCATTGAAAAATTTTTTCGGTCACTGACTGGACAGTAGATTTAAAGATTGAAGTCTGCTCTTTCAAACGACACCTCAAAAATGACTTTACGATTTTTTGTAGCCGTTTTATGGAACTGTGAAGAAGAGTAAGATCGATGGCACAAAATCCCACCTGATCTCATGATATACAAAAAGTCGACAATATTCGCATTATGGTAATTTCGTAATAAAAAAACATACGACGATGAACCATAGCTTATATTAAAGCTCGAAGCTTCTATTTTTACTATCCGAAGCTCAATATCCTTTAGAATTTTTTCCCATGATGTACCGCGATGCAAACTGAAAGTATACTTTTCCACAAAAATGGCAAACATTCACAAGATTCCCAAATCATTGAAAAATTTTTTCGGTCACTGACTGGACCGTAGATTTGAAGATTGAAGTCTGCTCTTTCAAACGACGCCTCAAAAATAACTTTACGATTTTTTTTGGTCGTTTTATGGAACTGGGAAGAAGAGTAAGATCGATGGCACAAAATCCCACCTGATCTCATGATATCCAAAAAGTCGACGATGTTCACATTATGATAATTTGGTAATAAAAGATCATACGACGATGAACCATAGCTCGTTTTAAAGCTCAAAGCTTCTTCTTTTACCGTCCGAAGCTCAATTTTCCCTAGAATATTTTTCCACGATGCACCGGGTCAGAAGCTGGAGAAACATTTTTCCTTATAAAAGGTAACAATTGTATAAAAGTGCAGCGATTAATAATTGTCGATAACTATATTTTCTATCAACGTTTAAAGTAAAAATATTCTGAGAACGAAATTTCAAAACTGTTCGTACACCCGCGCGGCGTATAAATCCCGGAACAACGAAATCAACGTGCTCGAAGCTGCCGCCGCCGAGGGCCAAGTGTCCGAGCAGCGACGAAATCCCTCTGATCCTCGGGGACCTCAGTTTTCGGGCGGAACAATGCTCGCCGCGGGGCTGGCGAATAAATAAAAAGAGAGAAAAAACGCTAGCAGTACGTTCATGTGGAACGGTATTGTTATCGGCAACTCTATCAATTGTTCCGGGCGACCTGAAACCGCGCGTTTGTCACCGGAAAACGACGTTTCGCGTCCGGAAATTCCGTCTGCCGGAAAATAAAATCCGGAACCCGCGAGCCGTTCCGTAATCTGTCCCTATTAATTTCCAGTAGTACTTTCCATCCCTCATCTGCGGCCCCCTCGCCCGGTGCCGAATTCAAGCAGCAATGAATTTAATGGCCGAGCAGCAAGGAGTCCGGCAAACTGGGTCGAGCAGCCTCAGACCAGTTACGAATCGCAGATTCGGGTTTATTAATTTCGCGGAGACCTCGAAGACAATTAAAAGTTCCGGCGACCCCTCGTCCCCGTGACTCCTCGTCCGCGACGGTGACTCGATTTGTTGTGTAAACATCGCTGCACTCTCCGATCTTCGATACTATTCTACGTTCTACCGAATTATCGTCAGTTTTCTGATGGCTGTTCACTGATTCGGCCTCGCACATTTGCAGACAGCGTTCTGCAGGTGTAATTCAATTATAATTCAACTACGAATGAAATCAATGTATTATTATATTGTACGATATTATTATTTCACGATAATACGATAATATTATTATATTATATAGTGAAATTCAATATAAATTGCGAATTAAAAAGTAATAAATCGATAGCTAATGAGGGAAGAAAATACGCGGAACAGACAAGAAATGAGTATACGAAAGAAAAATTCAATTTCAATTGAATTCAATTACACCGTAGTTTGTAATTTTAATACGATCGCATCGTAATTCGTAATTTTAATTCAATTACACCATAGTTTGTAATTTTAATTCAATCACATCGTAATCCATAACTTTAATTTAATCACATCGTAATTAACGTAATTTAATTGCTTAGTATTTTGTAATTGCCCTCCAACTGCAATTACAAATTCTAATTTCATCGAATGGAGATCTGATGCGACTGACTCATAATGTAATCGAATTCCTTGCAATTATAATTCCTTATAATTATAATCATGCAATTATAATTCCTTATAATTCCTTATAATTCCTCCAATTATAATTCAATCGTAATTCTGCACAACTCTCTGAAGCCACCGTAGTACAAAACAAAAGTGCCGATTATGCCAGTATTTTTCTTGAATTAGAAGCTGCGATAACGTTTACTTGTTAGTTCAAGAAGGCCCGGTTTCCACGAAGAATACGCAAGAACTGTACGAATGCCAGGCACATCGGCTATCAACGCTAACTGAAACGTGATGCGAGGAACGAGATCGAAGATCGTCCGGCTCTCATTACCGTTTCTCGGTGACTCGGCGTTCGAACAAAGTTCGGAAACTTGTCCGGCGAACTCTCGGGTGCCCCCCAGGCTTGAAACCGAGCTATCGATGTTCCCCCACCCGGCGGTAGCTAAGGCCGCAGGCGTTGGGCAATAATGTAAACACCGAATCGATCACACGTGAATGAAAATTCTTATTCCGACGTTTTTTCCGTCGAATTCCCGCTGCGGAGTATGAACGCTGCCCGGGACAGGGTGCGCGTCGCACCTCGCTACGCCTGACTCACCTTTCACCCCCTGCCTCCTCTTGTCCCTTGTTCCTCCAAAAGGTGGTACATTAAATAATCACATTAACTGACATTAAACAATCGATCACAGAAATCGAAATCCCCGTTTCCTTCAAGGGATGATTTCACCCCCTATTTTGCGACGACATAAATGAAAAATATATTAGCGTTGGAAATGAATCGCTCTACTCGCATGCAGAGTGCCATAATTTTTCAAACTAGTAGACTAGTCCCTCTGTCGTATGTAAAAAGAAAATCCACTTCATTTAGCTCAATTTTAAAAAAGTTATACCGTTTCATAAAATGTCCGGATATTTTTGTTCATCCACCGTATGCAGACGCAACGTTAAACAAGAACTAACGAAGACGTCGAAATAAATGTTTCACTGCTGTGTAAAGACAGCCTTGACGTCCCTTTTAGCACATTGCATCGCTTAATGTTTCTGAGTCACGACGCCTGTAACTTCCGTTAGAATTTCGGGGATTCCCGGGAATGCGAATAGCATGGTTTAACAGAGGTACAATAGCGGCTACGAGAACGGCTTGAAACGTTTATTCAAGTACATATAAATACATGATCAGGGCAATTGAATCGGGTGAGTGTTCTCTGAAGAGGAACGGAAACGTAAAGCGTGCACCTCGTGCCATGTGAATCGCTGTAACGCTCCGATGAGAGGGTGTTACCATGGCAAGAGAGCGTGTACCAAACGCGACTACCTGATAGGATACTTAAAAGTTACGAGAGTGTGCGAGTTCCTGTGCTTTCCGTGAACGTATTTGGTCCCGCGAGGCATTCCGACGAGAGTGAATAGAAATTGAGATGCGTTTAACACAAGAGAGACACCTGTGCCGAAACAAATATTGTCGTTCCCTGACACTGTATATGTATATACAGTCCGGCGTTTCGGTTCGAGAAAGCATATTAACAATTCGTCGCCGAAAAAAAATAGAGAACGCGTTCCATTAGTGCCTTTAATGGGTCGAACCGTATGATTATTGTACTGCCACAATTATTTCACAGTTTATCCGTTAAATGCTAAACACTTTTTACAAATAGTCCTTAAGCCAGTGAACATATTAACAAGACGCAATTATATTACACTTACGATTGTTCGATAGATACATGATCAGTACGTGACGTACGTCAATGCGTGCGGTTACAGTGTGCCAGAAACTTGAAGTAGATACAGCGCCGTAGAAAATCTAGTGTACCCTCTGACGGGTGACTATTAAAAACTATAAAAATATTTAACATCGTACAGACAAGTGATCCTCCTCTGTTTGAATAAATAAATAGCTCGCAATATGAGAAAAATGCACCGAAGTTCTTTTCACGTTTTGAAAACATGAGACCGAGACTCTCGGATTACAGAAGATCGAATTTCAGTAACTGGCAACCGGCTATGATACATACATACATACACGCGTAATAAAGGCTGCCAATGTTTATTTGCACATCATTAATTTCAATCCCTAGGTAGGCTAACGTATTCCTAAGTCGTACGACGTAGAACTCCGGCTATGACCAAGAGAACCATGATCGATTAGATTGTGTGGGGGTTTTCGGTACTGGCGACGATGGCACTGACGTGCTCGGTGTCGAGGGCGTGCTAGGAGTTCTCTCGTTGTTCAGGTTCCTGAGTCGCACTTTCTCGTTGGTCTCGGCCTGCATCCTCTGCTCGTACTCTCGGACGTCATCCAAGGTCATGTCGTACCACTCGTCGATCCAAGCGAATGCTTGCCGATGGCCCAACAACAAAATATCCCTTATACACTGTAATTGAGATCGTTACAATTTCGAGAATTTAACACTAGAACTACGAAGCATCGAAAGCCATATTGAGCGTATTCAACGACAATTACTCTATGAATTAAGTCTTCCACGCGAGTCTGCATGCCCCATACTTCGAACGAGGCGTTAACTACTTTGTAGGAGCACATTATAGGCTGTATTGTTTCCCTCCAACCTTCTACCAACGGTCCCCGACCGGTTCGTTTGGATTGAAAGAATTTTGGATCCTAAAGAAAGCATATAATTGTAAGATTCTTCAAACTGTACCCCTGAGCAAATAAGAGAAGCGCGTGTAAACTGCATGCAAGGTACCTCTTCCTCTTTGTAGTGCTTCGCAGAGATTTCATCGTATGCAATGTCTACAAAGTCAACCTCACGGTGTATCAAATCAATGGGGGAGAGACCTAAGCACTGTATTGAACAACTATGATTGAAAGTAATTGTTTCATTGAATGAGATACTATAGAAATTCACATACATTCTCTGTAGACCCATTGTTATCCTCGTATCGAGTTCTTATTGATATTTGGAACTTTGGCATGAAAGAACACTGAAATACATAATTAGATATAACAGAAAATTTAAGAAAACACTCTTAATGCAGATACTTACGGTGTATTCTTTGGTCATCATAAAGAACATGCAAAAGAAACGTGATATTTTTAAGTTTATGTGATACTTTATAGAACTAACATTATTATAAAACAAATCATTATCAATAAATCTATCTGTACCTGTAATAGTATAGGGATAATAATTCCAGGCCTTTTCTGTTACATAGAATACCTTCGGTATAACTGATTGAATCCAATATGGTAACTTGCTACAATAAAATAAGGCAAGTAAAGATCTATTTACAGATGAACTTACAAATTATGCTTGTGATTGTCACCTAGACAAATGGATCTTCTTTTCTGTATACTGGCCCTTCCCATGCTCGGCATCATCACATTCCACATTCTGAATCACCTCAACTCCCTCATCATTCGCAGATTGTTCATGACTATGCCTTGCAATCATGTAGAGCTGTCCAATGCGATACTATAAAAGGTTCTCAGTGATAATTACATCAATATTTCCAAAGCCAACAATTAAAAGTACATTCTTTTAAGTTTCAGTAGTGCTGCACCCCCTTAAGTAATGAAAGTATTAAACGGTATTCGACGTTTCTATAAATATATTAAAATTCTGCTAACCACTTCGAAATGTTTAAATATAGTTAAACTATACTGTAGTACAGAGAAATGGAGAGATAAATATGGATCAACTGAGACCAAACTGTAGTAGTCGCTGAGGCTATGAAAAATTAATCATTTTATATGTAATGATGAAAGAATTTACTTGCCTCTGTCGTTGTGAGCGGCATGGATATACGATATTCCTTCGTTAACACCATTTTCGCAATTAAAACTTGTCAGTCTTTCGCAATAACATCAACTTGGTACTCGCCGGGAAAACTTTACTTTCTCACAAGGAAACGGGCGCGAATTTCGTAAAATTGTCATGTAAATATCAATTTTACAACGACTAGAACAATGAGGCAATAAACAAAATTGAGCAGAACGAAGTCAGCTTCTATCACCCTTTGATCGATAATAAAGCCCGGCACCTTAAAGCCATAAGGCTGTTGTAACTAGAACCGCGTGAACGAAAACTCCTAGCGAATGGGACGCTTTCCCATCGATTATAACGAGTGTTTAAATAATTTACTTAAATTTTCAGTTCGCCTAACTTTTCCACCACGCTCGCCTTATCCGTTCAACGGAATTTTGTGGTTTAGAATGACATAACCTAAGTGTTGTGGTAAACTGACGCACAATGCGGCCACAAAAATTTCAACTTCCGTGCAAAGCGTACAGGTAATAAATTGTTTACAAAGGATAAAAAACATTTTGTTATTACAGGAAATTGAATATATGTTAACAGTGAAGAAAACGTGAACTTTCCGCACAATACGATGTGTAGTCATCAAATGATCTTTAAGTAACTTGTAGTCATTAAGTTTTTAATTATTCGTACTTAAGTCCGATATTTTTCTAGGTTTCCAAATACAGACAAGAAGGTAGTGATAGTGTCTGTGTTTGGCAAATCACAGTATAAGGCTAAAGGATGCAAGACCAGCATGCTAAGCTCTATCCTGCAAGTGGATCTCCTGGATGAACCAACAGTGGATGAAGACACATTTGTAAGAACTATATCAATGAAGCATTAAATCAAAATTAATTGCAATATAACTTTGGTAAACTTTACAGAGTGAGATTGAGGGCTACTATGATACCAAGGACAAAACCATATATCTACATCTAAGAGGTCTGTTAGACACGCATAGCCTTTTAACAGAATTCAATAGATTCACTGAGGAACAAGACTGCAAGGACTTCCTAAGTGTCTGGGCTCACATGAGAGACAAATATGCCAGAGCATTGCTTGTCCTGTTTCATATATCTCATGTTATTGTCCTTACCCATCCTACACACACTTTTGATTACAGTTATGTGCACCTGTTCAGAGCAATGGATATTGTCAGGTAAGAATCTGTATTACTTAATAAGTTCTATGAATATTAGTGAAACTTAATTCTGGTCCTCAGACAAAAGGTTTCACCCCAACTCTCGGATGTTTTAAGCTGCATTTATAGTCTACCCAAGGATTGGGTGGCCAATGTCAGACCGTGTTCACCAAGGGTGTTATTCTACTTTGAAACTTGTCCTTCTGTGTTCCAAGACCCTGCTAATGGGACTAACATAAAGAAGTTAGAGCATTCCTTGGAGGACCAGATTTACCATGTATTAAGAAAAAATCGCATAGTGACCAACATAAGGTAACATTATTTAGAAGTAATGAGTTAAAATGTTCTGTGAAACATCTTGAATAAGATAATATATCATAACTTATTACTACAAGTATGTAAACGTATTTAAACAACAATTAAAGTCGAACGACGTCCGAAAATCTAATCGCACGGCACGATTTAAACGCGGATTAAAACACGCGGGAACTTGACGCCTAATGAACTTGAATTGTTTAACTTTCAGTTCGAATTCTCTGTTTGCAATTCCTGCAAACCAAGAATTCGTTTACGTTCACACCGGCATAACCGAGTCGAGGGACATTCTGGGACACATGGCGAGAAAGCTCATACAAAGTTGCAAAATCAGTTCTGGAGGTAGCACTTCGCGGAGTTTGGTCAGCCAAGACTCTAATATTCAATTGGACGATAAAGAAACGGGTAGATGAAATAGAAATTACATAGATCGAGAGTTATAGCGATTGCGGACTCGTAACTGTACTTGGTTACTCGGTTTCAGAGACCCGGTCGTTCAGGTTGTTTCTACAGCAGCACATAAACCTGGCCTTTGCTAGAGGATTCGACGACAATGTTGGGCGGCATTCTGTACCTGCCTACTTTGAGGTTAAAATTTAGAACTTAAGTTAACAATTGTGGTGTAACATTCAATGTTGCAACTTCTTTGTATGAACCAGATACCAACTGCTGGTATATTTTGTGAAGTGGCGAACAAGGTGTACGACTACTTTATGCATGCAACAGACAAGGAGCTGTTAACTCTGCATAGCTTGCTGGACACGGATGTTAAATTCAGTAAAAGCAGATGTAGCAAAGTGCTTCCAAGGGCATTGCAAACGTATCAGGAGAGCCTACCTCAACATTACACCAGGTATAGATTGGATTACGTGGAAAAACTGGATAGCAACAGTGACATTGAACTTATATTAGAGCATATCATGAGACGAAGTTGGCGCACGCGATGGCTGTTTTCGAGATGCACGCCCGGGGTCCTCTATTCGAAGAATTCAGTGAGAAGTTGCAAGCCGAATGCGAAAAGCATTGGCGGTCAGGCCGACAAATGTGCGAGGTGTTGTCTCTGACGGGTAATCCGTGTACCAACCCCATTCATAGAGGTGGTAGCGAGGGTGCCGGAGGCGGCGAACAAGCAGATACCAGAGATAAGGACACGTATGGCTAAATTCTGTGCAGATTTATTTCGCTAAACTCGATTTATTACAGCAATCAAACTTTATTTTACATATTTCAGTGATTTACCCATCAGAGAACACTGCAGCGGTGTTCGCTACATTTGTGCTTGCAACTGCGGACGTTGCCAAGGTTCGCGGGAGGATCCTTTCAGTTTGAGGCAGGCTAACTACGACTACTTCCAACTGTTAGCAAAACAATGTGGCTGCGCGCAACTGGAGAATATTCATTTCCCGATTTTCCAACCGAGCACCCACAATTTCAGACCAGCACAATTACTGTCTGTTGCCAAACGCAAGGACTCTTTTTGTCACACTGAGTCACCTACCCCGAGGGGCACTACCCTCAACACTCTTAATGGTACAGTTATACACAGCTTAGTTTAACATCGTTTGCTTATCAATGCTATCACAGTTTCAGATGATCGAACGCCGTATGGGAGTGGGGGTCAGTCTCAGCAGACTGGTGAACCCAACGAAATCGCTCCCAAACATAACAAGATTAATCTGACACCTAGCGAAGCACATAAAGTCGTCATAGAGGTTTCCGATAATGCTGCAGACAACAGAGGTAAATATTGCGCCTGGTATTCGGGGCTTAAACAGCTTAGCAAAAGGAAGCATTCTACAAATTTAAATTCTACAGATAAATGTTTAGTCAGACAACCATCAACTACAGAGTACCTGCCAGGAATGTTGCACACTGAATCCCCTGCTGGTCTGCTACCGCAATTCGCGAGCTGGTCTCTGGTTTGTCTTGGACCTAGTAGCTTATACTCCCATAACTTGGGTCTACAACATCAAGCTGGTGTACTACCCACTTCTGCTTTTCTTCTACCTTGGGATGTGACTGTGAGATTGGAACACCAAAAGGAAAGAGGTTCCTTATGGCCCACAATAAGCGATCATAGCATGCATGGCTATTGTCCAAGAGGGAAGAACTTCCAAAACATGAATACCATTCGTGGCAGAAAGTCCAAAGGTGGTAAAGAGTTCGTTGTGAAGATATTTGTTGGAGTGGAATATGAGTGTCCAAGAGGTCACAGGTTCATGGCATCTGCCCCTGACAAGGTGCTTAAAGCAACTGGAAATGGAATTGTGAAGGACAGCGGAAACAAAGTCACATCCAGCACAGCTGACATGCCTCTTTACTTCCCTTGTCCCTGCAGGTCTGTAGAAATTCCACATATTACAATCTCCATTGACAATTCAATGCTTGAAGTCATGTAATTGTCTAGGCAAACGAAGCCACTGATGGCTCAGTTGATGAGAATTCATGTGGTGACCCCGAAAGCACCTGTTCACGTGACATTGAACCCCAGAGTTCAACCAGGGCCTCCACCCTGTCCAATTTTTGTAACTGGCTGTGATGAACCCATAAAACTGTCTCAAAGTGCCTACTGGGTCTTAAGGCTTCCGTATCCCTTTATTAAAGATCTAACAATGCTCTTATATAAAATTTTTTAAGTTCCTTAACATAGATATAGATATGTATACATGGATGAGAAGGGACCATACTTGGCACCCAAGGAACCAGTGCCAATATCTCATGGGAGACTATTAGCAGGGATGTATGGAATCAGTGAGGTGGTTCCAGACAAGAAGTAATACAGTATTTAACTTTTTATAAAGACTATTTGTATGTAACATGTAAACTATTGTAAATATAATGTTCCAAAGAACACAAATATTTCGTGTTACTTAAATTACACATCTTACAAATAAGACAATGTTCACTGATGAACGTATCAAGCTAAAATACATATATAATCCACCAAATAAATTATTATTCTAAGCACAAATACAAATAAAAGTTCTACACTACATAACATTTCATTCGAACACTCACGGGACTAGGTTACCATCCGTTGAATCGCTTCCGAAGTGCTTACATGTAATGACAGTTCCAGAAAACGATGCACAATTGCCTCAACTAATCACAATACATTACAGAAAACTTATTTGAAACTGTTAACACAAAAAACTTTTCACTTTTCGAAGAACTGACTTATGTCTGACGTTAAACTTAACCGTTAGATACCGTAACACTTTGGCGCCAACCAATAGCAACCAATTCAACGCAACTAACCGCGCTTTGCTCGGCGGGACAATGACCGCCGTTTGAATTTAATTAACGATTCTTTACTGCTTCCCAGTAAAATATTTAAAAATATTAAAATCTGGAATGTACCGACGGATATTTATGCAAATATCGTTAGAAAAATAGCTTTTCTTGTTCAGATCATACGGCTGATTTAAGGTTACGGAGATGTAGGAGTTATATAACTGGAAAGAAACTTTTTATTCGAAATTCTCCGCCATTGTGCTGGGCGCCTGACCGTTACGGATTTCTTGGAGGAGAAAATACACACATGTCATCGGGTCTCACCTGTAGAGCGGTTATTTTTGTCCGCCACACACTAATAGTACAAGATTTTCGATGACATGAATGAAACAGTGGATTTACTTGAAGATAAAAATGTTCTGACGCTCTTAGCTAGCAAAAGTGACTGTTAAGTTAAAGAAGAGAGTGTTCGTTGCATTGAATAATATCTTGTAAAATTACTGGCACCACGAGTTTGTGAATACAAATATTTACTACACCCCTTAGTATCAGGGGTTTCTTTGTTCCTTCAGTTTAAGGTAAACGGTCAGCCATAAATTTAACAATAAAAATTAAATTCGTAAGTAGCAGCAACTAATTAATTTTTTTTTCTATTGCAGTTTTGGAGTGTTTTAAGGAAAAATGAAGCATTTACGCTTATTATTGTGCCTTTTAATGGCATTAATTTGTCAGAGCGAAGCGAATACAATGTTTGGATGGATGTGGGGCAAGTCCAACGAAGAAAGCACTGTTCTGGTGGCCGATGGAGTGCCATTAGTTTCAATTCCATATGAATCCATGACAGAAGATGAGAAGTTCCTCCAAGAAGCAGCTAAATTCACTGAAATTCAAGTGTCATCTCCCTTGGAGACTTGCCAACACAAAGTTGTCATGAAGATTAGAACTTCCTGCTCCGAAATGAGCGAGGAGCAGCTTGCCAAATTCAGTGTCAATCTCTTGAACTGCCAGGCTGCTGTGGAAGGCAGGAAAATGTTTCCTTGTACTGAGGATATGGTAATATATTTTTTGAATATTTCATGTATTTATAATTTTTATCTATTGATTCTTTTTGCAATCCTAAAAATACTTTGACTTCTAAAAGAAGCTTTACCACTGCTGTACAAATGAAAACAGTTGGAGTAGTAGATAGAATCAATTTCACACACATATCCCACACATGTGAGTTGAGTGTGTGTGTGTTTGTCGTATGTAGAGGGGTGGTTTTAGTCATGTTCAGACCTGCAACTTCCCCCACTGAGTGTACAGACCACTTCTGAGATCCTTTCAGATTCACTGCCACAACATAAAGTACCCTTTATCTGTGCACATCTAGTTATCTCTGTTGGTTCTCCAAATTGTGAACGTTCAATTTTTCAAATAATAATCATTAATTGCGTTCAATATTGTCTATAAACAATCGTGCTTTCTCCTAGTCTCTGAAACAATGTACAACAGACATGGATCCAGACATGTGGAATGCATATCACTTAATGAGCAATAGAGCAAGAGCAGTTTGTTACGCGGCTCGCGGTACTCAGTTTCGTGCTCTCACCGAATTGACTGTTAATAAACTGATGCAAACCGCGCACACGCAAATTAAGACGTTGAGTTCTTTGAAGGTAATTCATTTGTGTTAGTACTCATTGCACCAGTGATTCTACAGTCGATTGAACATTAATACAGGAAGGCCAAGATCGTTTGGAGGAGCAAACGGTGGAAGCTTTGTCTTCCATAACAGAAGGGAACAAGGCACTGTTAGAACAACAAAAGCATTTGAAAGACGCACAAGTAACAGCTCAGCAACTAGTAACATCAAATTTGAGAGAACTAAGCAACGAAAAAGCGTTGATCAGACTAGGTCACTCTCAGTTAGCAGCCATGGCCGAGGACATAAAGAAAAAATTAGAACAGGCCAGTCTTAGCATAAGCCAGCACGCTTTGGAGCACAGTGAGAACCATAAGGAGATACTTGTGGATCTGGTGAACATCCAAGAGCAAGCTCAATTAATCTGGGATAAGATAGAATTCAGTACCAATCGGATATTCGAGCAGCACGAAGAAGCAATTGTCCAGTACGAAAACACTCTAGAAAAGCTGGCCCAGATTAACGATACAATCCATTTCCTGTGGAACATAACAAACACCATGAGAGCAGAAGTGGACGAGAAGCTCAATTGGCTGACCAACTACATCGGCGACACCGGCGAACATATGCATAAAATGTATCGCACAGGTTTGCACGTGGTCTACTTACTCTGTGCCATGGTGATCGCTGCGTTTCTCCATGCCCCATTACTAACCAGGATCACTATAATGGGCCTGGTGCCACTGAACTTGGCATCGTACTTGAAGCACGGCATGGACGCTTGCTTGGACTTCACATCTATGACCGTGCTGATATTCTTGATCACAGCAAGTAGGTAACAGAAAATCTTCGTACATTGAACAGTACTTATAACCTTGGCTTGCAGTGCACTTCCTGATGACCGGGATCCAACGACTCTGTGGGCCAAAGGCAAGCACAGTGCGATCAGATCCAGTACAAGTGATCAAGCAAAATGGCGCAGCGCAGGACTACGTGTCATCTTCTTGCGCGAACCTGAAGTCCCCTAGGATGCCAACCTCGTCGTTGCTCAGTAGACTGAAGAGAAGCATCAACTACTTATATAAAGCCGTTCACAATCAAACCAACCATTGTATTCGTGAGTATAAAAGATGTTGAACGATGTTGGTAGTGTTTCACCCGGTGAATTCTTTTACAGAGAAATGCAGTTCCCTGATCCAGCATGCAGCCTCCTGGAGCCGGCAGAGCTTTACGCAGCGCGAAGAGCTCTCCTGCTCCTACATACCGTCTAAGAAGTCCCGGGAGGATCTAATCTACCAGCATGATCACCCTAGCATGATATCGGACGACGGCACCGACTTCGAGCACTCGAATGTGGCTAACGAGAAAGACGATAGCGTTAGCGAGCTTGATCACCTGGTGGACGCTAACGAGCTGAGGCGACGATTGATGAGAATCGAAGGATCTGTGGCAAGGTCCTCTTATCAGAACCAGCACTCGCCTTCTAGAAGGTAGCTAAATCTTCCTCGTGGATCACCTGTTCCAAATCGTTACGTTAATTTAATGATAAACTTCCTCAGCATAAGCCCAATGCGCGCGCCCAGGAGTCTGTGCAACGGGTTGACCAGAAGCGGAAGGAAATGTCGCCTGATGGCTAGCAGCGGAAACTATTTCTGCTCGAGGCACTCCACCGGTACCTCCATATTGGGAGACTGAGAAATGAGCTGTTTGAGCCATCCTGTAACGAATTTTTCACGGCAAATGTAATTTGTGATAAGGGACGAAAAGACAGTAATTTTTTAAACTGCGACACCAATTTGTAAATATTTTGTTAACATTTTACCGTGTAACTGATATCGAACGGGTTAAAGGGAAACCCGGATCAGGCGTAGTTGTAATTTATTTTTGTAAAACCTCGCGTTTTAAGATCGAGTAAAGACATCAGAATCGAATGTACACTGTCTCTATAATTCATCTTCTCCAAAAAGCCTTAAAGATTATTAGAAACGTGAAAAACCAGGTAGCTAGCAGGTCTCCGTGTTGTACTGCGTGCAGATCGCGTTCGTAGTCAGCTCGAAGAACCTCGGGCTCTTCTCGAAGCCAATCCCGGTCACCAGGTTCCTCAGGTTGCAATAATTGGTCCCGTAATCGAATACTCTGAACCAATCGTTCGACACAGATTCGCCCTTAAAGAAAAACAGGACGATGCAATGCAAATGGCGAAGTAAGCGATTAGGCTAGGCAACTAGTAATCACCGTTGCCAGACAGCTTCTGTTCATGTTCTCAAATGTGATCTTCATGGTCTCCATAGTCCTCATGTCTAATCCCGTGTGAGTCGCTCTGATTATGTTGCTCTCGTCTGATTTCGGTTCACTGAGCTATAATATTAAATGAACTTAGACGATAATAATTGCTATTAGCAGAGCATTTTCACTTACTTTGTAGAGACACTTGCCAGCACGGGGGCCACAGTTCACATTCGATGACCAGTTGAGGAGCTGACACCTGAACTTCTGCATGACGTAGGTGCAGGGGTCTTTGAACTTCCTGTCGAGAAGAAATTACAGTAAATTCTCTCCAATTGTCCCTCGGCTTGTAATCAAAACTTGGACAATTCGGGAAGAGTAGATACGATTATTATAGCCGCCTATTGTCAACAACTATAAACTCGAGACTCGAATAATCGTGTTTCCTCTTCCCAAAAACTGTCCATTTTTGTTTACAAGCTGAGGGATAATTGGAGAGAATTTACTGTACTTCTAGAGCTTAGGGGAGCTTAAAACGAAGTTGCAGCAGCACGATCACGTGAAGTTTTATACCAAATGTCAAATAAATCTTCGCTGGCCTTCGAGAAATATATTTCGCAGCTCGGGAATTATGTTCCCCGGGCGATCGAGTCTCCGTAAAGTATTTTCTGTTCGGTTACGTAGACGAGATTCGTTTCGGCAAAAAGAAGGAACGGGCTGCTCTTGACGGGTTATTAGGAGATTGATACTGATCTAATGGGAGCTGTTTTGTAACAACGGCGATAAATGTAGAATTATCGTGTGATTTGGAAGGCTCTCCGCGGTGTCTACATTCAAGGAAATTTATTGTCGTCGTTCGGCAGTGGCGGAGTTCAAAGGGGCGCACCCGAAATAACACAGATCGGCCTGCCGAACGTTCTCATGGGGGCCTCGAAAAGTGTGGTTCGTATATTTTTCGAGCGGTGTCGTCCAGCCAAAGGAAAATATACGGGCCTCTGGCTGGTAATATTGAGTTTCTCTATGCGCAGGATTGTTTGCAGAAGCGGCTAGCAAGTAGACGTTATCTTCGAACAGATTTTTCTCAGGCTACCATCGGGGACGGGAGAGGGGAGCAGGCAAAACAATCACGACAACCCATTAAAGCATCGAAAAAAAGAAAACACCAAGAAACATCTTGCAGAAATATCAATATCCTGAACTGCACGCGATATACTCCAACGATAAGATATGCTTCTTCTTTTCATAATATACTGACCAAACTTCATAATATACTGGCCGACGATGATTCAGGATCATTTATATATAAAAGAAAATTACAGTAATTTAAGAATTTGTCGCACATCATGTCCTACTGGAAACCAAGCAGCATTTCTAAAGCGAAACGTACCATTTAACGGTGCAGGACGCGTGCAGAGGATAAGGGAACAATAGGGTGACCAATAGATAGCAGACAAGGGCTGTCAACAGTGCGCTGATGCAGCAGCTAATCAATCTGCATCTTGGAAATTTGTCGCAGCCGCTTCTTAGTTCTATCGTCGGCGGGTCTGGCTTCTTTTCTTCATGCTTTACCTTTTTTACGCCTTTAACGTGCAGAAAGGTGATTGAACAGAATTTCAGATTGAACTAAAATTCCCTCTAATTGACGCATAGATTGTACACAAAGATGGACAATTTAGGAAGAGGAGGTACGGTTATTTCTTAATTTATTTATTTTATATATTTAATAATTTAATCAGCTCGTATATTTAATAAAAAATTCAATTAATTTATATATATTTAATAATTGAATTAGCTTTTATAGTTGTTGACAATATATTTATAATATTCTTTTGTGTACAATCTGAGCGTCAATTAGAGAGAATTACTGTATTCTAATGAGAAATAAAGTTACAATATGGAAAATAAATTTGACAGACTCAGAAATCATTGACAACATTGATGAGACAGTGATGCAAATAATTAACGCAGCGAAATGAACAGAAATAAATAAACGAAACAACATGAATAAATCTCCAATGCGAAGAGGTTAATAAAACAACGCCACGAAAGGGTACCTTTAACGTCGGAAACGCAGTCACCGCGCGAGTTCGTGTGCACAGAGTCATTTACTTGCGAGTAAGGCGGGGGTGAACGCCTCGACATTGACCTGAGCTGCATGTACTCTCTGTAAGGCGGCGGCTCATCCTTTTTAGTACTCTCTTTCGACCTGGCCATCGCTCTGATTCATTATCTATCATCCGAGAGAGCGTAAGCCGCCGAAAGTCCCAGAACTGACAGAACAAAAATCGAGAGATCTCGATCGTCATCTCTTCTCAGCATTTTGACGCCCGTATCGTCGCACGCTAATACCAATAAACGATAATCAGATGTCAGTAACTCGGCAAACTTAGGGAAAACAATTAAATTGAAAAAAATTGAAGTTTCCCCGATTTTATTATATTTCTACGCATTCGCGAGCTTTGTCAATTTCGCAGATTGCAACAAATACAGGAGACAGAAATCTGTCTCTCGACAGTTTAAAATGTCTCTCCGTTATCCGAATTTCTGCAATGGGATTTCTAATCGAAAGTTTCTTCGTTTCGTCGAGCATTGAGCGGCGGATGATCTCGGAATCTTTCGCTGGCGATTTTGTGAGAAGCGAGGTCCGAGGGGCCTCGACTTCCCACGAGCGTGGATCGAATCATTTTTTCCGCGGCCTTTTTTCCCCGGCGCACGCTGACGCGTCCGCGGTGTCCCCGATGAATACTATCTACGAAGATACCGAGACCGTAAATGTACCAGTCCCGACTGCTACTTCCTTTTCTTTTCCACCGCGGCAGCCTTGCCGCTAATTTATCGATCCTCCGATTCGTGTCGCAACATTAACGTCGTTGTTCGACCGTCCCGAGTGCAAGAAAAACAGCAAACATCGTCGGCGCTTTCGAAACGCGGAGGATCTTGTTCGAACGCGACCTTGACATTCTCAACGTATTCTTAATTTGAATTACTTTTCATTTGCGTTATTATGTCTTAACCGGTTAGCTGCGGCGCTTCCTTTTCAGTGCAATTTCAGCGAATCGAGCGACGACGAGTATACTCGTCGAACACAGAGTAAGCGTTGCTGTTA